GTCTCCCTGTAGCCCCAGCTGTCCTGGAACTCACTATGTAGACCAGGCTGGCCTTGTACTCACAGAGATCCGCCTGCCTCTGCCTCCCAAGTGCTGGGATTAAAGGCGTGCGCCATCATGCCCGGCAGGATCAATTTCTTACTGCTAACTTTTCATCAGCCTTTCTTCCTTTTCTGTTTTAAGTACTAACTGCCCCCTTGACAGTCTTCTCACTACAGAGCTTCTCTTCCCACACCAAGCTCTGGGAGGTCACAAGACTTGGATTTATGGCCTGGAGGGGTCTGATTTTCAGGAGCACCTGCTGGCATGTGCCATGGCAGAAGCTGAATGAGTAATGGAGTTTTCCCGTGGTGAGGATTCCTGTCCAGGGTGAGACAGGCCAAGTATCAGGGTGGCACTCATTGACTTGGACTCATTGGCATACCAATAGCCTGCTTTATCTCTGGGATGCTAGCGTTGGGATGTGTCATCAGGAGGTCACCAGAAGTACCATTTGTGCTTGTCTTCACTATGATGGAAGGGCCACTTGGTTATCAACTTCCTCCCATCAGTGCTTGGGACTCCACCCCCTTGGTTTTGAACTCCAAGGCTAGGAAGCTGTTAGTGAATGTGGCTGCAGACCTGCTCCCTGGGGCTCCTTGCCTACCTTCTGTAGATGGGTGAGGCAGGTTGCATTCTCTGTAACCTGTGCAAGTGATCCCCGGAGGGGCGGTGTGTTTCTTCCTCTCTTGCACCAAGTCCATGCCCACTGGGACTGCTGGTGGGCCTGAGTGTCCAGAAAAGATGAGTGTAACTGCAGCCAGGCCCCTCTTTGTGACAACAGTGCCACCTGGAGGATTCCTTCCATCAACTAGAAGACTGAGCTTCTAGTTCCTTAAACCAAACCATCACTTTCAGACTCTGAGGACTGGGCCATTGTGTTTTCCCCAAAGCTTAACTGCATCAGGTTCCAGGCACAGGCTTCAAAACCCTGGGCCTTGAGCAGTTCTGAGATTCACAGTCTTCTGAAGCCTTTTGCTGAGCAGCATTATTTTCTCTCTACAGATATTCTAGGAGACCAGAAGAATACACTAGACACTCCCTAGTGAGCTAAATGGTTAGGATTTGGTTCTCTTACTGCAGTGGCCCAGGCTCTGTTCTAGTCAAGGAAGCCTCTCTTCTTCCTCTCTGTGCCTTGCCCTCCCACCTACCAGTCTTGCCACCTCTTTGTACCTTCACAAGAGAGCAAACCAGGTGGACCAGGTGTTGACATATTCCAAGTACATTATGAGAAGTGGAGGTGAAGCTGGGTAGACATCATGTGGCCCTGGCAGCTGGGAGTAGTTGGGCCTCCCTGCTTTGGATCAGTAGTCCCCCACAGTGCTGCAGCCAGGCTGGAGGCCATTTGAAGGCCACCCTGTTTTTCTCCATGGTCTGAGGAAAGATAATCAAAGGGATTAACTTCTCTGATGACCTGGCTCAGTAGGTCACGTCCTCTTCTCTGTGTCATGGCCTCAGGTCCTACTCAGATGCCTACTCAGGGTAAGTGGGCTATGGGGAGAAGAGTTAGAACACCTCTGGATTTGGCCTTGCGGCACAGAGGTAGACTGCCACAACTTTCTCAGGATCCAGTTCCTTGGCCTGGGCAGGACTCTGAACTAAAACATTCTTTCTAGGTGATAAGTGCAAGGTGGGGTAAGGAAGAGTCAGAGGGCTGCAAAAGTGGTAGGTAACAGTTATGACATGCAGTTGAGGACCCCATGAAGGCCTAGCCACATATGCCATTGACTCCTGTGTCCCCCTGCAGGTGTGTGGTGTCATAGGCATTAAATCTCAAGACCTAGCGTCAAGTCTCCAGAGCTGCAAGAGATGATGGCCATCTTAGATCCTTGTGAGAACACCTGCAGTATTTCAAAGGACAACAGGAGAGGGCTGGGGAGAAGGAGCCTGTAACTATCTTAGTAAGAATGAAGATATTCTAGAGACACTCATGCCCCTCTCTGTGACTATCTAATATATCTCAAGGAACTAGAATTTCCCGTGGAATCTAAGGCTGGGAGAAAGAAAAGACTAGGGCCCTGCTTCTAGACAGACAGCCTGTCTCCAAAAATGAAATCTCAGACAGTTCTGACTTGTCAGACCTCTTTGCAGAAGACTCTGGAGCCTAAACAATGAGGGAAAGGACCACACTTTGACTCTATAGCTTACCTTTTATTTGTACCTAAACCTTGTTAAGACCCCATAGATGGACTTAGTCAGGGGGTGTCTCTTCCCAATGCAGGCACATTGAATAAATCTTTTTCTGCTTTTTACTATTACTTGTTCAACTGGCCTATTCAGGGAGTGGCTGAGGCCTGGTGCGTTAGAACTGCCAGGGCTGTGCTTAACAACTCTGGTAGAGCTGTGACACCCCTAGGAAAGGGATAGCAAGGCCCTGCGCCATGACTGCTGATATTCCCTGTCCTTGTGAGAGGTTTTGGGACACACCACCATCCACTTCATCTACTCTATGATGTCATCTATAGGGCCCATGACACCTGGCCTTACTGCAAAATCTGAGATACCAGAACAAGAAAGAATAGATGTGATCAGCCTAGGACCCCAGGCCAGGCCTTCCCAGGGGAAGCACTGGTGGAGACTCTATGTATGAAGGTTGTTATAGGTAAGCCTGAAGCTACTACTAGCCTTTGAGATTCAGTTGAGGACAGAGAGATGGTTCAAGATTGAGGGCTTTTACTATCTGATGGCAGAAGGAGAGAGGAAGGTAACCTGATGGCTACCCTCTGTGTACATTTAACTCAGAGACACATTTCCCCCATGACTACCCTGACAGGGCCATCAAGCACCACAGGGACTGCTAGCATATGCCTACCCTCCAGTCCTGGCAAAGCCGCCAATCTAGTACCCAGGCCTAGTGGAAGGGAAAGCTACCTTTAATGTTGCTTTTGCTACTATGCAGAAGGTTCAACCTGCCTTTTCCTCCCCACACAGACTCCCCAGTCCAAGATATAGCTTCTCAAAATACTTTTCTGTATCTGGTTTCATCCAGAGAAGTCTGGCTCTTCCTGATGGCTCACTACATACCCACTTGGAGAAGACTCTTCCTTTATCCCTCCCAATTGACTTGGCATGTCTTGTCCCTAAGAAGGGAAAAGCCATGCACAGAGTGCTGAGTTGACACCAGCCTCCAGTGGCCCCACCAGATTGTGGAGTTAACCAGAAAAGCCACCAGGACCAAATCTGGATCATTCTGAAGACAGAGCAGGTCCAGGCCTTGCTTGCCTAGTCCAGGGCAGTTCAGCCCCTGACATCTGCTTATCCCATTCAACATGGCCAGGATCAACTTCCTGCTTGGCCTTCATACAAGAGGCATCTGTGGAATCAGGCCCATCCCACCTGTCCTTTTCTAAGGAAAATGAGCTGTTCTCAACATTTCACTCTCTCATCTAAACCCTATTTTCAGGGCCTTGGTGTCCACAGGTCCCATATCAGTTTCACTTCCTAACTGCAGCCATATCCCTCATGTGTTTCTTGGCCCTCCACAGGAGTTGGATCTCTCTGACTTGCCCCCAAGTTCTCCCTATGGCCTGTGGACCTCCTGTCATCAGCCTCCTGAACAAACACCAAGATACCTATCCATCAACAATTATGCCAAGGGCCATTAGGTATCAGCATAACTTTCTTTTTTAATTTATTTTATGTATATGAGCATTTTGCCCGCATATATGTAAGTGGACCATGTGTGTCCAGTGCCCATAGAGGACAGAAGAGGGTCCTGTCCAGTCAACCCCTGGAACTGGAGTTACAGATAGTTTTTAGCCACCATTGTAAGTGCCAGGAACCAAACCCAGGTCCTCTGTAAGAACAGCATGTGCTCTTAACTTTTGAGCCAGTTTAGCAGCCTGAGCATGACTTTTTTTAAGAGTCCTTGTGTCTATCACCAAGACATTTTTCCAAAGGAAAAATACCCCTCCCTCCTTCTTCAATAGTTGCCCTGACCACAAAAGAGCTCAGTTGCCTCAGATCTCTTGTACCACACTCGAGACCAGATGGCCAGGAAGACAGTTCACACTCCCAGAAGAAGCCTGCAACAGGTATGGGTGCCCTTTGTTTACTGAAAAGGCATTGTTGGCTTGAGTTCAGGTTTCCAGTTACTTTATTACATCACATTCCTGTTTTCTCTCAGTCTCTTTAAGGACAAGAAAAGCACTTGAGGATCAGGTAAAGCAGTCACATGAGACAGTGGAACACTGCAGACAGCTCACACAGGCCCCACTCCATAAAGAGGACTCAAGCATAGACCTGGAACATTCATATAGCCCCTGGACCTCTCTGGGCAATAGGACCTGAATGGCCCAGCTGGTCTAGGAGCTCCAGCTCTTCCTGTTGAATGTAGGAGGAGGGCCAAAGCTCCACTAAGACTCCCAGTCATCCTCATCCTCATCTCCTGGTGGCTGCTGTGGAGGTGGCAGAGGTGGAATGGAGTCTGACATTCGGGTGAAGGCTCCACCTGGTCCTTCACTGGCTCCAGTGCCAGGTCCTTTCCCGGAGATACCTGGGAGGGAACAGCAATGAGAGAGAGGCAATGGGGCACATCTTTACCAGCCTCTGGAGACAGAGGGTGTTTAAGATTCCTACCTTTTCGCCTCATGACCAGCTTGTTAAAGAGATCTGACATTAGGTCCCCGCATTGGCTGCTGGCTCTCACTGCAGTACGAAAGTCACAGGTGAGGAAGGGAGAAGGGATCATATGATACGCTCACGTAGGATACTCTGGCTTACTTGCCCCACCCCTGTGACACTCCCATACCTGTTCTCTTGCCATGTGCTGGCTACAAACACTTAAGAGATTTGCCCATGGGCCCAGCCTTGGTTTAACATTTCAATTCCCAGCCCCACTGTATGGATGAGGACACAGGCTCAGAGAGGCCAGGCTGTTGGCATGGGGGTCACATGGCAAGTTAGAAGACCCAGGATGTAAACCCAGTACTGCTGAGTACCAGGGCATTGTCACTTTATACTTAGGTCGTCCAGGATGTTACTGGTCAGGACTCATGGCACATGTAAACTGTGGCCTACAGAGTCTTATATATTAGGGTGGAGATCACCCCCAGGTCCTCTGTCTCAGTGGTCTTTAGGTTCCTGCATGTTACCTGAGACAACAGTTGCCAAAGCTTTATACTTCCTCATGCTTTGAGCTAGGGGTGCTCAAACAGGAAAGATCCACCAAGAAGCTCACAGTCACACCAGAGGGACAGAATACCTGTCAGGGTAGCCACAAGGGACTTCATGCATGTGAAGAGGGGTGCTATAGTGCCTATGGGGTTCAAGGGGCAGGTGGTCTTTAACTGGGAGCCTGGCTACCACAAGAGATCCGTGGTTGCTCACCTTGTTCCTGCTCCTTCTGTTTCTTCTTCTCCAGCTTGCGCTCCTTAACACTGCGCAGTTTAGCTTTGCCGATGCCCCCAGCTTGGCGGATAGACTCGAGCAGAGTGGCCCGGCCGCTGGAGGGGTCAACCACCTCCTTGGGAGCTCCTTGAACAGAAGCTACGAGGAGAAGGATGCAAGGAGGAAAGGCTACTCAGGCATGCCTGCATAGGGATAAGGCTGCCCAGCCCGAGATTGGAGGTTACCTCATGGTCCCAGCAGAGGGAGGCCCCTACCCTCCTCAGGGGAAGCCAGCTGCTGAAGCTATAGCTTCCAGGACTATGAAGTATGAGTCTTGGATTTCTGTACACAACAAGCTGAGGGGTCTCATGTCCAGACATCCCTCCTCCCTTTCCAAACCCCTATTTTGGGGGCCATCTTGCAATGGCAGACCCTATGATTCTGATGTGCTAATAGTATTCTAATTTAGGATTGTCTACCCCTTGAAGTGCCTGGAGATAAGCTGAAATACACAATATAAAAGCTGAAATTCTGAAATTTCAAATTTTGTAAAGTCTTTCCCTACCATTGTAACTAGAAATAGGACACAGAGCACTTCCAGTCTCCCTCTCCCTGGCAGTCAGAATTCCACAACTCTACACAGTACAGAAACAACTATCATATCAACCTTAGAAGACAAGATATCTAAAACGGGGCCTATCTGAAGATCCAGGACCTAGGAACACTTAACCTATAGAGGATCCTTCAGGGATCCAGACATTGAAAATTTGTAGGTGCTGCCCAGGAGGACCAGCAGCACCAACCCCAGCTGGCAATGCCCCTACCTGAATGGGCCATGCTGCTACCGGTGTTTTCTTCCCCTGCAACCTGGCCAGTTGAGCTCGCCATTTCAGAGAACGGTGGTGGTGGGGCGCTAACTGGCACCATGGGAGCTGGGGGGGGTGGTGGCGGAGGCGGAGGCGGCGGTGGTGGTGGTGGCGGTGCTGCCAGCAGTACTCCATTCTCTAGGTCTAGAAGCAAAGTGAGAAAGTGTGAGTGCTTGGGGAGGGGCTCAGCAACTCCTTCCTGGCCCAACTCCAGCCTAGGTCCCAGCTCACCTGGCTGGAAAGGCTCAGCCACCTCTGTGTGGAAGGTGGGCAGTTCTGGAATGGCACCAGGAGCAGAGGGGGCAATGCCGGGGCCCAAGTCAGCACTGTATGTGAGGTCATCTGCGATGCCAGGCAGGTCAGGCAGGTAGGATGGCACATCGATTTCAGGAACTTGGCCCAGGTCTGGCACATAGAAGTAATTCTCTGGAGCCTACAGGATCAGGTGGGGTACAGGTGGGGTGACGGCTCTGTAAGAGCATAGGGCTCACACTGTTACCATGGAGCAGGGAGCATGGCCCATGTGGACCCACACAGCTGGGTGGGTAAAGGCTTAATGGAGCCTTTCTCAGAATAGCACCCTGGCAGGGCCTGGGTGCCTTCCATCCCTACCTGCTGCTCCAGCTGTTCTCTCTTGCTGATGGATAGAGGGGCATCAAACAACTTCTCTTCCTCTGCCCCCAGCATCACATGAGTTTTTGTTACCGCACCAGCCAGGGGGTCCAGGAAAACATACTTCTTGTACCTATGGAGTGGGCTGGGATCAGGAGACCATCACCTGTCCTAAGACTGGACTCCCAACCACCCCTCCCAGTGCATTAGTAGAAGCACTTTGTCCTCTGGATGCCCACGTCTTAGGAGCCAAATTAAATCTATCAGCCCTGAGAACTACAACAGGTTAAGGCTCCTAGAGCCACCTATGCCAGGCCTCCCTTCTTCCTCCCCTCTTCCCTCTGGCTGTATCCTGGTCATACAGGTTCTCTGTGGTGTTGAAGAGCAGCAGGGAGCTGATGGAGCTGATGTTGCTGGGAAGACCCCCAAGCCCCTCTTCAGCTTCATCCTCAGGCTCTGGCTTGGTGTTTACACATACAGGGAAGTATTTCAGCTTCTCCTGGAGAAGGGTCAAAGAAAAGATGATGGGTCTTAGCACCAAGCCAAATGAACCCCTGCACCACCCCAATAGAATCTTCAGTCCCTGCTCCCCAGAAGGCCTGGCCTCCAGATGTGTGGTATGCAGGTGACATTCAGACCTGCAGGGCCCGCTCATCCAGTGGGCGATGCTTGCTCTGGATCCTGTAGCGGGGCCTTCTCTGTAGATTAGGGTCCAGGGCACCCGTGAAGATGGAGCCATATTCCTGCAGGCGCTCTGGAGCTGGGTACTTGGCACTAGAGAATACCTATGGATTTGAGGAAAACTCTGCGGGGAGGGCACAATACTCAAGACAGCCTACTCATCATAAGCAGACATTGGTAAGGGGTAACTGTGAGCAGGAGGAAAAAGGTGTCCTTAATAGCAGGGGCACAGGAAAATAGAGGAATTGGACCGGCCATGGAACACGAGTCATGGCCTACCTTGATGGCCTTCTTGCTGCCCTTGATCTTCTCTATCTTAGCCTGGGCCAAGGAGACCCTCTCCCCAATGGCCTGCAGCTGGCACCGGCTCAGCTCCACTCGCTGGGAGATCCTTCAAAGGAAAAAAATTCAGAGGCTGGTAGCTCCTCCAAGCTCAGTACCTCTGTGCAATGCCAACAGCAGACCTGAGAATGCTGAATCCTAGGCTTGAGCACTCAATACTGTATAACCTACCAGTTGGGGCTGGTCTTAGTGATGTTCACCTGACCGCTAATTCTACTATCTAGCACAAGGGGTCTAGGAATTCATTCCCCTGAGCCCTGGACAGAGAAGGGCAGCCACTGTGCCACTAATCTGGTACCCATATACACAGTCTGAAAAGATTCAACTCCTGGAGCCAAAAGTTTACAACCTCAGGGCAGGCAAACAGTTCTGATGACCTACACACAGTCACTAGCTACCTACAGTTGACAGAGCATTTGACCTACGCCTACCCCCATGCTCACATGATGCTCATAGACCTTTTGCTTCTACAGAAAAGGAAAAAAATTCAGCAAGGCCAAGTAAGTAGCCAGTCCAGACCTATAGTGAATCCATAATTCAACCCCAATATGATAAGGAATTTCCCTATACATTGTAGATGGCTCATAGGAGTAAATCTCGGGCCCCAGTGTTGCTCATAAGACTACAGGTGGCCCTGTTCCTAACTTCTCCTATGTTCTCTGGATAAGGGATAGGCTCAGCAGCAACAGGCACCTTGGTATGCCCTGACAAGCCAAACCCAGTCTCATCTCTGGCCTTCTGAATCTCTGACACCCATAGGACCTACTCCTCCTCTTCACTAAGACCTTTCCTCATTGGAGTCTCCCTGAACACAGAAACTAAAAATCTGCCTCTGGCACATCCCAGCCTCCTAGCCTGTCTGCTGTCCCCATGGTCACCAATGACAAGGTACATCACTTGTCCTCATGTACTTTGAAGACCAGGCCTTCTTTGTTCCTCTAGTATTACACAGTGCCTTCCATGGAGGCACCCACAGGGACTCACACTACACTCACAAGTGACCAAGATCCATGTGCATTGCACTTACTGTGTGTAAGCCTTGCACATGTTCTTGCACACCCTTAAGTTACAGCAGGTTAATCTCCCTATGAAGATGACTCTAACCAGATATCATATGATGTCACCCTCCCAATGCTCCTCCAGCTCCTCAATCAAAAATACCAACCCCAGTCTGTGATCCCTACATTCCCCTCATCTAGAGTGGGTCTCTGAGCATTAGCCCTGTTAAGCCAGGGCACATCTTAAGACAACACACTTAGGAGGCAGAAGTCACATTTAGCTCAGGAGAAAAGATAGGAGGAAGACTAGGATGGATGGCAGGTGCCAGTGAACACCAGGATTTCTCTAAAGAAGGAACCAAATGGTGAGGAATCTCACCTAAACCTCACAAACCATCAGCTCGAGAAAGTCCTGGCTCCTTGAAACCCAGGGTCTCCATGCCCTACCAAAGCTGTCCTGATTGCTCCTGGCTCCTTCCCATAACAAGGGATTCATTGAGGGGCTGGAGAGATGGTTCAGCGGTTAAGAACATTGGCTGCTCTTGCAGAGGACCTGGGTTAAGTTCTCAGTACCCACATGACAGCTAACAACTGTCTTTAACTCCAGTTTCAGGGAATCTGATGCCCTCTTCTGACCTCTGCAGGCAGTGGAAGACATAAGTGTACTTACATACATGCAGGCAAAACATTCATATACATAAAATAAAAAATAATAAAACATTTTTAAAAACATGGGCTTCAATGGGATGGCAGAGCTGGGGCACATGTGGGAACTGAGCAACTTAGCTCTTTTTTAAATTATTTTATTTTATTCTTTTGAGACAGGGTCTCCCTGTAGTTCCAGCTGGCCTGGAACTCACTATGTAGACAAGTCCAGCTGACCTGGAACTCACTATGTAGACAAGGCTAGCCTCAAACCAACAGAGATACGCCTGCCTTTGCCTCCCAAGTGCTGGGACTAAAGGCCACATACCCAGCTTATTTATTATTTTTATTTTTATTTTATGTGTATGTGAGTGCACCCATGTCATGCAATGCCCTCAGAGGTCAGAAAAGGGCATAGGATCCTGTGGAACTGGAGCTATGAACAGTTGTTAGCTGCCATGTGGGTGCTGGGAATCGAACCTGGGTCCTCTGCAAGAGCAGCCAGTGCTCTTAACCACTGAGCCATATCTCCAGCCCCTGACAGGGTATTTTTCAAAGCAACAGGAAAAGTAACTAAGATAGGCACCATAAAGCACAGGGGGTCAGAGGGATCCCAAGTGACATCTCTGGGGAGCATGCCACTTCTCTGTAGAGGAATGGAAAGGTAACTAGTACAGTTTCTAGATTCCCTGTTCCAACATATCCAAATAGGACCCAAATTCCTCCATAAGCATATTTCCCATAAAGCCAGGGAGACCCCAGCCTCTGCAGGGCTGCACTGGCCATGCCCTCACCATGCCATACCCTAGAAGCTGCTGAGACCGATGGACCATTTTCCTTTCAATCGGTCGCCCATCTCTCCACAAGGGTAAGTGCCACCTCCCCACCATGCTGGCCACCCTATAAAGCATGCTTACATTTGGTTCCTGCCTTTGATGAATCTCCTACACTCTGATACTTTGGAACAATCTGTTTAAGTACTCAGGCAGCTGACTGACTGCTTCAGAACCCTGGGACTCTACGTGTGACCCAGAAATGGGAGAAGGGAAGCCTGCAGGAAGCAACAACGAGGGGAAGAGATAGGAATGATGGCAAAGAGGGAGGAAAGGAGCAAGAGAAGGAAGCAAGAGACAGAAGAAGGAAGAATGGGACCAGGGGTCCCTCTCTCAGGAAGAAGGACTGGGTAGGGCTGCTGCTTTGGGGACATGGCTTAGCCCACAATGGTGCGAATTAAAAGGTGACAGCATCCACATATCCATGCAGATTCTGTCTAGCTATCCATTGACAGCCACACCAAGCCCTCCTGCCTGTCACCTAAGCTGTAGAAGGCAGGTCACATTATGTAAGTATCTAATCTTAGGGCATGGCTTTTTGCAGTAAAGATGGAGTACAAGGAGGGGCTCCCCTGAAGGAACATTTGGAGGAGGCCCCAGAAATTCTAGTCCTTCTCCTGTATGATAGGTTCCTGCTACAACACACAGAAGTAGCCCATTTCCTAGTGCTGATCAGCCACCAGTTCATCATCCTGTGCACCACCCAGAATCAGATGACGCCCAGCGCAGTGACCAGAAAGTCTCCTTTCCACTCATCTATCTGTTCTTGCAAAAGGTTCCCAAGTGGGTGGACCATGTGAAAGGAGAAGGTTCTAAGCTCAACCACACCCAATAGGACCAAGTACAAAACATCCCTGTGGATTGCTGCAGGGTCAGGGGACACATCAATGGAGACAAGTCAGGGGAAAAGTCAATGAAGACAAGCAACAGAACTCACCACCCCACCCACTGACTCCTTCTTTTCCCATGTTCTGTCCCTATTCAATCCTCACAACCTATCCCTGCTTCCTTTGAGATGTCTTTCTCCAACCCTTCCTGCTTCCTAGGTTGGGACTGTAGTCTTGCCCCTGCCATGTCATGAATCATTAAATATGCAGGCCGGCCCTGGGATCGACCCTCTCCCCTTCTTGTTCTTCCCAAGTTCTTCTGTCCCATCACTTCTCTGTTTAGGGACCTCCAAGAAACTCCTGCATAAAGCATGAAGTCCTGTCCTACTAACAAGAACTCCAGTGAACCCAAACTTAAAGATCCCAATTTTTCACTTAGATCCCTGCACACTGCCAACCCTCCCACCTGAAGTGTTCCCACAGCATGATTGAGGACACAGAGCAACAGCAAGCAAAGTCCCCAAAGCTCACAAACCAGAGGGAACCTAAGGCCCACAAGACCCAAGGAAAGCCATCTTTTTCTTCTCTGTTGTGAAGTAAAGAAGCTTACAATGTGGTAGAAGCAACAATGCTTGCAGTCTCAGGGCCAAACAGTCTCTCCAAACAGCAGGCCCGCAAAGCCTGCAGCCTATGAAAGACCATACTGCAGGCTGTTTTCAGGCTTCTATCTAAGCCTGCAACCCCCATTTCCAAACCACTAGATTCTCAGCATGCCCATCCTCTAAACCCTATCCATAACTTCTCCCTCCCCTGAGAACCCTGCCTGACCCTGTGGAGGAGAGACATCTTCCCTCCAATTTCAAGTAACAGCCCTTTCCTTTGGGGAATATATCTCTCACACGGGCTCAGTCCCAGGCTGTAGGAAGACTCCACCTAGGGCTCAGCAGCAGAGCAAGTGACCTGGGACCAAGCTAATCAGTGTGTGATAACCCCTTGCTAGACATAATTGAATGCAAAAGACAGGAAAATCCAATCAGGCCACAGGGGCTTGTGCTGAATTTGCAAGAAGTGCTGGTATAGGGAAGAACTTCCTTTTCTGCCTGTGTTTGAGAGCTGTGACCTAACTGGCTGTCACTGTGACACCACCAGAGCAAGATATGTCTGGGAGCAGAGACAAGCTATTCATTGGTTTCTTTTGACCATTCTGATTGAAAAATGTGCCACTCACTAATTCTTTTTCTTTCTCTAGATCCCTGGAAAACCACACACTTCATGCCAGGCACTTAAGAATCATTCAGCCTCTTGCTTTCTAATTCCAGGCTCTAAACTTCTGGAGGACACCATGTCTTACACATCTTTCTGTAACCCTTGGTCTCTAGCTGGCCATGATGAAGGGACCTAGGACCCTGCAAAAGTAGCCTAGACTCAGGTTCATGGCCCAAGTGAGCCTATACGCCCCAGGACTCACTCAGCCACATGGAGGGCTTGTACCATGCTTAACCTGCTCTACTCCTGGCTCCCTAGAGCCTTCTGCTCACTCATCCCATCCAGAAGCAAGGGAACATGCAACTATCTACAAGGTACAAGTACAAGAATGGGAAAGGACAATACACCAAAACTTGACGCTCCCCTAGGCCATCACAAGGTTATATAGTACTGATGATGAAACTCCACCATTTCTGAGGGAGGACTTAACATCCGTTCTATCACTAGACACGTGATAGCCATCACCTGAGGCTGATAAAG